TGTGAGCAAGAGATATGCTGAAACCTAGTTATTCTAATATGGAATGACCAATCAGAGACTGATGTGTGGAATGTTCCCACAGAGTCAGGAAGGATATGAGTCATGCCTTCTTGCATCATTTAGGCAAGCCATGTGTAGATTCTTTTCAGCATTTACCATAAATGGATTCCTATATCACCATCTGTTCACTTTAGGTACAGGAAATGTTATAAGGCCATTCTTGTTTTATAGATTTCTAGTTGGTAGTTTTGGAAAGGATTTTTCCTATCTTTTGAAGTATGAACTAATAAGTCAAAAGAAACTGGCACTTTTTCTTACAAACTACACTTGGAATAGTGTTAAGTCTTCCCTGTGTTGGCTGGCTCAACTCCAGGGATTGGCTCTCTCTCAGGGAGCACTGAAAATCCTAGTATAATCCTAAAATGTGGATGTTGACTTTGAAAGTCAGATTTAACTGACAGATGTGTGAAATGGCACAGAAAAAACTCCCCACTGGGGATCATGAAAATGCCAGGGAGTAACAGTTACTTACAGAAGGAATGGCAATGATATAATCTAACTTGTTTTCTCATTTTATATGATCCATTCTCCAACACAGAAATTTATGTTTGTGATACATAAGATTGTACTCACATCTATATATGCCTCTTTCTAAAGCAAATGCCAAAATCAACACAGACTTCAAAGTCTGCCTTCTGGGAAAAACGGACATATAAGTACACCTCACTTCTGTGCAAAAACCCAGTCCTCTCTTTAAATGGCAAATGACAAATGTTCTACCTTTGCACTATGGATATATCAACCTCAACCCAGCGTTATTCTGAAAAGAAGAACACAGTGATGAGAAAAATCATAGTGGCAAAGGATATATCTAATAATTCACTCTCTTTAATTGGAAAATAAATTCTTTGTCTTCTAACCTCCGAATTCACCCACTGCCACATTAATTAAAGGTCACAATGTTTTAAATACTAAGATTTTAGCATTTCCCAGGACTAGAGATGAATAAGAAAATAATGGGCTTTGCATATATGAAGAAAAATTCTAGGTTTGTTTTAGGGATCCTCCACCTGAATTTGCGGCTCTGAAAAATCTATTTTAAATAAATGATAATAAGCCCCCTCTCTCTTGGCTCATGCGTCTTCATTTCCCTGAGCCTAGAGAAGTCAATACCATCTGCAGTGTCCAGGAAGGAGTTAGACATTGTCAAAAGGTGAACACCTGAATTCTGGAAACAACTCAGCGGCACTCTGCCCCCTGCTGGACTGTTCAAGGACGGACATTGATGAAGGGTGCAGAAGCTTCACCTCCCACTCACTTCTCCACTAGCCTCTGCCCTTGGACCAGTAGATCCCCCAGTTAAAAGCTTTTGCCCCCTCCCCCAAATTATGCATTCATTCGAATCAACAATTTTTTTTATGTATGCAAAAACCCTAGGCTGCCAAATCTGCCCTCCAGAGCTGAAATAAGAACCATAATAGATCCACACGTTATTATTGGTGGTTATCATGGTTTCTGAGTTTTCAGGGATAAGAGAAAAGCAGAAAAGTAGGAAATGAAACATTGAGGGAAAAGATGTAGATGTGGCGGGGGGCTCTGGACTCTGGGAAAAATCTCTACAGACATAGAAGAGGAAGAAGACTTTAAAAGTGAGTAAGAGGATGCTATCGGACATGAAATATTGGGCAATTTCTTCTGGCTGTTAGGGCCACTGCAAACCATCTCTCATGTTTTGGCCTCTGAGCTATTTTTCTATTTTTCACCAGCTGAAGTGGTAAGTGTGAAGACTCTTAACTTCAGTCACTTCTAGTCTAGCCAGGTTTCTCCCATTCAGGCTAGCTTCCTCCCCAGTTCAACCTCTATCAAATAGCCCTCACTTTCTCTATGCTACAGGTGCCATCCAACCAACCACAAGGGAGGCAGTGGGGAAATGATGGCTACCGAGGAAATGATGGCTACTGAAAAAAAAATACTTTTTTTTTTGTGCTGAGTGCCAAAAAAGTGTCAGGTAGTTTCATAGGTGCTTTACATGCATTGGTGCATGCAACAAATTGCAAGTAGGCTGCATTTGAGGAAAGCCACACAGCTATAACATGCTCTATTTGCAATTCAAACCTAAGACTTTCTGATTCCAAAGCTGTTTTTCCGTCTGTTCCTCTGGTGTTCCATCCAAGAGGTCAGTCTCCTCCTCTTACGTTTCCCCAAGCCTGCTTCTAGTCCTGCTTCCTCGGTTCCTGTTTCTGTGTTTCAAGTACCATGGAGTACCTTGGAATCTCACTACCTAGCCTAGAGACTAAACGTTCTCCCTAAAGACAGGGATCTGGAGAACTCTTGTGATGGTGATCTTTACCTTCTTTGCAGAATGGGAGAGCATGATCTGCCTCATTCCTTTTAAATGCTTCCTACAAACTAAATCCTCCCAGTGTGACAGTACTTGCCAGTCTACCACACTATTGTTTCTCATCAATTATTCTCTTTTGAAGGTTCAAAGTCCTAACTGCAACCCAGAATCCAAAGAACCAATCTTTCCATAATAATAGAATCACCATCCACTCTTTTTTTTTTTTAACACGAAAAGGACTTTATTTCATTATTTTCCTAAATTTCATTTCCAATTACACATTTGTTGAAAGGTGGAACACCAAAGGCAATTTTCAGTCACAGCAACTCCATCAAGTACACATAATCTGAGATTTTACTGCTTGAGTGAATTATAGTCCTCCCAGGGCTTCCTGGTTAAAGAAGATAAAACTAAGGTAATAGAGAAGAAAAGTGAAGAATATTATTCTGTAGGAAATTTGTTGAACTCAATAACCATTCATTCATGGGTGCCGTGTCCATTTGTAAAAAGGAAACTCTAAAATTTCTAGAAACACAAGACAATATTGGTATTTTTGAATGAGTATATTCATATATTTGTGTGAAATTTTGTGCAATTCAACAATATGGCAAATGTCATTTGTTACCACAGCCAATGAAAATGTATTTTCATTTCTATGTAAGTTAAACATTTCCATCTCCCATTTTTATGTTCTGCGAAAAAGCCATATGTCTAGTTTATGAAACGAACTATGCTAGATGCAGCAGTAACTGACGAGGAACTTAACAGTCTTAACTACATACCCTTGGGATGAGTACACTTTGCATTATCATGTGCAATGCTGTATGATGATTCTAGATCTCTTAGAACTACAAGGGTTTGCAAGCTTCTACTTCGCACAATATGCCTCAAATTCAGTCAATTCAGCCAAATAATAAAGCAAAACCGCAAGTGGGTAATCTACAAATGACAAACAACCATGTGACTAAATTGACCATGTTTTGTGTGAGGACACAATCATTGTAGGTGCCCTATAAAGACTTCATTTGTAAGTGACTATTTCAATTAATTTTCCCCCCTCAGGCTCCTAGAGGTTGACTAAATTGTTTCTTAGGCCCAAAGAAAACACAGCTGCATAGACAAAAGACAAACATATTGGTGACATATAAACAAATACCGTGCTGTAGGCACATTCCTATCCATAGTAAGTTAGATTTCTCCATAGGAGAAATGTCACAAACAAAAACCCTGGGGATATAACAGAAATATAGGGATTGTCTGATGCCTAAAATTTTATTTTACTTCGGTGACAAGTGTAAATGTTGATCAAAATTCATTCCCTTTTTTACTTAGTTTATGCGTGAACTTTTGAATAGTATATTTTCAAGAGTCATTACCCCAGAGTGAAGGTCTGCACAGTAAGAAAGCAGCAGCCTACTTGAGCTCAATGCATCTATTGTCTGACAGTCTGGTCTGGGGAGCTTCAAGCAGGGAGTGAATCCATTTTACAAAGACAACTTGCTTCTGCAGACAAAAGGTATCAAACTGCAGAAAGCTCTCTGAAGAATGGAGTGTGAATCTTCTTTGGCATATTAAATGCTCCACATTCAAATTCTATTTTATTTTTTTCTCCTTTTTTCTGTGCAGATGATCCTTCAGGGCTACTCCTTTTTATTTAGATAATGTATTTCTCATCTTTTGTTGTGTGATCTTTCCCTGTGTTGGAGAGTCCTCAGAGTTAATTTGAGATAATGACTAAGTATTACTGAAAATTTTAAAGGCAGATAAATATAAACTATTACTGCTATTATATTCATTGAGGTATCAGATCAGTGACGAACTTCCAAGGTTCAATAGCTTGTCAGTTCCCTGATTGCCTGGTTAAGTCAGGTTTGGTTCCATGAGTTACAGGAAAAACAGGCTCAATTTTAGCTTCTCTGAGCTTTTATAAAGTCCTTGCATGACATTTTCTAATAATTTTTGTTCCCACCCAAACTTCAATAGCAAGGGGAAATAAACAAGTTTTTTTTTTCTTCAATATTGTTTTTTTTTTTGGGGGGTTCTTGATGTATTTTGAAGATGTTTGGAAAAAGGAGCTGGTTCTCTCAGTTACTTTATATGTTAGCACACATAGGAATTACAGATGGGAAGGAGTGCAAATGACTATCAGAAAAAAGTCTCATGCATTTAAGATTTTTTTACAAGTCAAAATATACATCCTCCTATCACCCCCATTCCTTAATTATAGAAGAACCATTTCTATTTTATCAGTCTCCTTTACATCCCACTGAATTGGAGAAGGAATAAGGATACTTTCCTTGTTAAGGAGCAGTATATACTCATCAGTGTAATTGACTGCGTTAATAAGAAATATATCAGCAGCTTGGGCTGAGTCACCCATCATATCCTTCATTTATGAGGATTTAAATGTGTAAAAGAACAGGTACATGTAATTAGGAGGAAAAATAAAGCAATCTGCAGACTTTGGCACTAGCACACATAATATTTTGTCTGAGTTGTTAAAAACGTGGTTTGACGATCACTAAATAAGAATTAAAAAAATTACAAATCTGCAGAAAACAAACAACCATAGGTGTGGGTTCTCAGTTTAATGCTCCCCCATCTCCCGTTCCCACCCACCCCCCACCCCATATAGTTTCAATTATAATAAAAATAGAGATCTCGACATCAGAATTTTGCTGTTTACTCTTCCAGGTTTCTCTGCACCATCCAAGCCACACTTAAGGTTTGAAGCACCAAATCCACAAGTTTCTCCAACCAACCAAGTTTAAATAAACCAACTGGAGACTGAAGGACGCCACAGTAACTCTTCTCAAGTGAAGCTGTAACCCAAAGTTCTCCCCCAAACACAGGGTATCACGCGTCTAGTTCAAGTACTGCCAGGCTGTGTGTAGATCTGTCTCAGGCTTCAGACAGCTACAGGGACCACGGGTTCTAGAGGGCATGATCCGTGATACCAAAGCAGGGCAGGGATCCCCCTTCCATGGCGGATTTTTGAAAAGTTACAACCCTCCCTTGTGACTGGCTGCCACGGGGGTGAGCGCCGGACCTGGGGTTTGAGGGCAGAAAGCAAGCCTCCTCCTCGGCAGGGAAGCTCTATCTGCAGTTGGAACAGTTCTCCTCTCGGAGCGCGCTCAGGGCTCCCCTGGCTTCTCAGGATCCACTGCCCAGATCCACTGCCCAGAAGACAGAGCCTCAATCTGACCCAGTAACAGTGAAAGAAGAGTCGACCTACCTGTGGAACCAGACCCAGCATGGTCCCCAAAGGTCGCTCAGGCTACCCCATTGCAACTGACAAGTCAGCTTGTGCACTTAAAGCGTATCAGTTTATGGAATGCGTGTTTGAAGTCCTCATTGGACATGGTATAGATGATGGGGTTGATAAGGGAGTTGAGATAGCCCAGCCACGTGAAGAAGTCAAAGATGGCCAGGTGGAACCAGCAGGCATCCTTGCAAATAGGCATCACCAGGGAGATGATGAAGAAGGGCAGCCAGCACACGATAAAGGCTCCCAGAATGATTCCCAGGGTCTTAGTGGCTTTGCGCTCCCTAGCGGCCATGAGTTTCTTCTTCTCCAGCAGGGCGTCGGAGACCCGCACTTTGACTTGGTTCACGTACACAGGGGACCCGGAGTCGCTGGGCACGTCGGGAGCCCGCGAGTTAACGGAGGTGACCGAGGACGTGGACCCGGGGGAGTCGGTTAGCAGCTGGGCTCGGGTCAGGCGCTTGCCGGTCCTGCTGGGCGTCTGTTTCAGAATCCGGGAGCGGGCTTCCACATAGATGCGGCCGTAGAGGGCGATGAGGAGCAGGGTGGGGAAGTAGAAAGCGCCCACCGTGGAGTACACGGTGTAGAGGATGTGGTCGGTGTTCACCATGCAGTCCGACACCTCCTCCTCGGCTTTGGCTTGACGCCAGAAGAAGGGCGGCAGCGAGATGGAGATGGAGAAGACCCACACGAGCGCGATCATGACCGCGGCCCTCGTGGGAGTCCTTTTGGCGGAGTACTCCACGGCGTCCGTGATGGCCCAGTAGCGGTCCAGGGCGATGACGCAGAGGTGCAGGATGGAAGCCGTGCAACAGGTGATGTCCGACGACAGCCACAAGTCGCAGACCACCTGGCCCAGCGTCCAGCGGCCGGTGACCGTGTACATGGTGCTGATGGGCATCACCAGGATGGATACGAGCAGGTCGGTGACCGCCAGGGAGGCGATCAGGTAGTTGGCTGGGGTGTGCAGCTTCCGGGTCCGGTACACCGTGGCGATCACAAAGGCGTTGGAGAGCGTGGTGGCCAGGGTGATGAGTGCCAGCAGAATGACCAGGAGCACTTTCCAGGGCAGCGCGACGGCGTCCTGGTAGATGTAGCCCTCGGCGCTGCAGTTGTGCGGAGCAGAAGACAGGTTGGCTGGAGGAGCCCCGGTCTGGGAGCCCGCGGGCGGCGGCGGGGCGCACGGAGTGCCGGCTTCTTCCATGTCTCTCCTCGCCAGGGCTCCGGAGCGCAGCCCCGGGGCATGGAGCAAACGAGGGAAAGGGCGGAAGGCCCGCGGAGATGCCACAGTCTGGTTTCCCGGTTGCCAGTCAGTCCCGTGGGCTCCTCAGTGAGCCTCCCACCCCGACTCCCTGCCGAACCCAGGGAGGTCAAGGGCGCGGCAGCCCCGGCAGGCGAGCGCGTCCCCTGCACTTCCCGAGCGCCCGGCGCTGCCGCCGCGCCCCTGCCCGCTGCTCTCCACGCCCCGTCTTAGCCCGGGGTTGCTAAGGACTGGCCCCCCGAAGCCCCGCTCCGCTCCGTTCCGCTCCGAACCGCACCTAGGCGTCTCGCGGCCGAGGCCGCTGCATTGTTTGAGGGGAGAGCATCAAGCCAGGTGGGGTCTCTTACCCCAACTGCTCGGGGCTGAGCCTCCTAACCCGGCGCTCCCGGATCTGCAGAATCGGCCCGCACGAGTTTGCTAGCTGTCGAGACCGAAGCTGGCAGGCCTTCGGGGAGTCCCGGTCTCGCATTCCCGCCCCCCTCCCCGGACCGGGGCAGTCTCCTGCGGCGGCTTCGCGCCGCCGGGGCTGGGTGGGGTGAAGTCTGGGAGCCGCGCTGCGCCGCGCCGCGCCGCGCCTCAGCTCTGCTCTCCCTCCTTTTCACGCGCTGGCCACTCCGGCTAGCTGCCCCGCCGAGACGGGGCCGCAAGAGGGGGGATTCGGGGATAGGGGCTGCGGCTGCTCGCAACGCGCCGCCCCCGCCGCCTCCACCTCGGTCCCCCAGGCACCGCTCGGAGCCATGCTGCTGGGCGCACGGGTCTGGGGGACCTGGCGCGGCACGCGGGTGAGGGGCAGGTGTCTCGGGGAGCTGGAGCAACGCTGCGTGCGCCCCCCCGGGAGGAGCGTGTGAGCGGCAGAGCAGATGGGCTCCTTTTATAGAGTCCGGGTCCGGTCCGCCCGAGCCGTGCAACTCGTGCGGCTCGGCAAGTGCGGACGCCCGCTCCCCATCACCTTCCCCTTTTCTCTCTCTCTCCCTCCTTTCCTCCCGCTCGGTTCCCTCCCCGGCCGAGGAAGCTTCCCGCCGGGTCCTACCGCCCTCTCTCCCCAGTACCCATCCCCTGACCCCACCCCCACCCCCACCCCCACCCCCCAATCCTGACACCCAGGCGCCGCAGTTCTGGCCAGGATCGGGAATGAGAGCGTCCTGTCCTTGTCTCCGTCCTCTTCGGAGCTTGCACCGCGGCCCTCCAGTTAGATCCACGCCCTCGGCCGCGGGCAGGGGCTCACTCCCCGCGTTACCTTCCTGGGCTTCGATTTACCACCCCCCACCCCAGCAGACCAGTGCTAGGCGGAGCCAGCTCCAGGCTCTGACCTCTCCACTCAGGAATTTTATCCAGCCCTACGGACCACACCCAGGTTAGAAGGAGGCGCCAGTAATTATATCGCCTTAGAAGGAAATGGCCAATAGTGCATTTTAAACTTCGGGTATCAAGTCATACTTAACTCTGATGCAATACAAACTAATTTTTCGTATCTGGTTTTAGAAATCTGTGCTTTCCATTCAATGCCTCCCCTTTATGGGCCAACAGGGGAAGAAAAAAAAAAAAAGCTGTCTACAAAAATGTAAAAGTATCACAAGCCAAGCCGAAGCCTACCCTATGTGAAACTAAACCTTCCATTCCATCCTCCCTCTCCAGCTGCTCAGCAGTTAAGTGCCACTGGAAAACAGTTCACTGTAAGCACCTTCCCTCCCCCAGCTTGCCTAGAAAGGAGGTCAACAAAATTCAAAAGAAAAGAGAAAAAAAGGAAGGAAGGAAGGAAGGAAGGAAGGAAGGAAGGAAGGAAGGAAGGAAGGAAGGAAGGGAAAGAGAAAGAAAAGAAAGAAAAAGAAAAAGAAAGAAAAAGAAGAAAAGAAAGAAAAGAAGAAACAGGCTTTTGGACCATCACCACCAGTGTGTCTTCTTTGCTGTCAACAAATACATCAGGTTATCAGCCATATGCGGTATGGAGCAATGCCAGCTCCCAGGTCCCAGGACCTCTGAGGTCCCTGCTGCTTACTTCCTCCTCCAACTTCTCCATTCTCTTCCTCCTCCTTCCTCCTCCATTAGCAGAAACAAATGTGGAGTAGAAGTACAAGTCAGAGAAAGTTTAAAGAAAAGCACCAGGAAAGGGCAATGTACTTTTAGCCCCAAGAACCAAGAGATCTCAACTAGGAGTTTCTAGCACCTAGCTCAATGTTTGGCAGGTGTAATGCATTCAATGACCTCTATTATCATAAGTGAATTTATCAGCTTAAGTGTAAGCATATTTTAAAGAGAATGATTCAATCTAGGGACCAAGATTATCTCGCCAATCCATTTTGTTTAGGAGAATAATTGAGGTCATATGAGGAAGGGCTTTTCACCCAAGGTGACACAACCCTAACCCGAGTTCTCTTATTTTCCTCCTCCCTAAACCAGGTAGGCAAGCAAAAATAGAGTGCTTAATCTGTGCTGGGAATTCTAGACATCAGGGTCTAATGGGATATATATACACAGACCCAGTTTTCAAGCAGCTTACAGAAGGGCAGATAGACAATAACCACATAAACAAGTCGGTAATTAGCATACATTCTTACAACTTTACGTATTATGAAGAAAAGAGCACATTCTTGCATTGAGAGTGAGAGTACTCCTTCAGGTGGCAGGTCTCAAAAATAAAACGTCCTCTGGAACTGGTCTGGGTCTGCAAAGACACTCTGGGGAGAAAAGCAAAACCTCCTTCCTCTCTCTTCCAGTTCCAGGGCCCAGCAAAGCTCCTGCTAACGTTAAGCCTCATTTGCACCACATATTAAGGGGTCCTGCCCATCCTCCAATCCCACCCACCCACATCAGGCGCCTAAATAGACTTCTTTTCTACTTCTTCTTCCTTTTTTTTTTTTTTTTTTAACTGCAGCACTCTTGGAAATCGCGGCAGAGGAAAGCAAGGCAGGCAGGCGAGCCGAAACCACTAGGTGGGGGCGTTGACCAGGATGGAGCAAAAGTGTGTGTGGTTGCCGGTGCGGGGTGTGCCAGGAAAACTATTTTCCTGCTATCTTAGGGGAGCAGGGCAAGATGAGGAGAACTGTTGGAAGGATGCGAAGCGGAGGAAGGCACAGAGGAATTTTACCAAGCTGCAGGCAGCCTTTCCTTTTTAAATTTCGTCTCCAGGCGCGTGCAAAGGAGAAAACCACTTGCTTCTTCTAGGGCTTGGATTCAGCGACTTAGGGAACCTGTGGCTTTCTTCAGCCACTCTTTTCACTGCTTCGCGGATTTCTGAAGCCTGGGGTGGAATCTGCCACCTTTGCGCGCTGTTTGATTTTTCTAGGCTTCGGTTAAGAACTGCATGAGCACACGGAGCTGTCGTGCAGAGGGGATTTAGGTAGGTTTGGTGGAGAACCACGTTTCATTAATTTGGCTCCCTCATTTCCCACCTTTAGCACTTTAAAACATATAAAATATAGCTGTTTGCACGTGGCTGCACGTCTGTGAAACACTCAGGAGAGCAAGGCACCTTTAAAGTCACCTCTGCTTGGGTCTCCCCGACAGAGGAGGGGCCCTTGGGCGCTGGGCGCGCCGCCGGCTCTGCAGTCCCCCGCGGCGCTGGGAGGAAACTCCCTCCGAGTTAGCTGGAAACTCGGCTCACACACCCTGGGCAGGAGGGCAAGGGGGGGAACCAAGAGCTGCAAAAGCTGGAAAAGCTCGAAGTTAGGTGGCAGAGTGCAGCAAAGGTTATTTGGGTTGAAATAAGCTCTTGTTTGGCCACCGGCCAGTAAGACTGCAAATCCGTGTGCCCCACGCGGTGGACCTTAAGCAGAAGCTGGAGACGTGGACGATAACCCTGGAACCTCAGTCAAGCCTGTGATCAGACACGAAGCCTGACGTGGTGGTGACCGGTGGGGGGGGGGGGGACCGGAGAAAAAGCGCCTCTCGGAGAGACTGTGCCTAAGCCAGAAAGATTTGCAACTGCTGATGCAGCGAAAGGCGAGGCGCAGGCTTCGAAGTTGGCAGCGCGGCGCTAGCGAGGCCAAAGGCTGTGACGAGAAGCTCCTTCCACCTCCAGGAAACCACAACAAATAGCCCCTAGAGCTTCCTGCAACAACTCGGTCTTGCCTGGGAGCCGGCCAGCCAGCCAGTGTCGGGGCGCCTGGGTCACGCTTGCAGCACCCCCACAGAGTCTCCTCTGCGTTTCCCAGAAAGTGAGTCTTAAGCACAGGAGCAAAGAAAGTAGTTTTGAGTTAATCCGTGCTTTGCTGCGATAACAGAACAAAACACTCAAACTTCCAGTCACTTTGCTCCTTTAATAAAGGGAAGTGCAATCTCAGGTTCTCCATCCCCACCACTTGAAAAATCACAACCAGTCCCTAACCAGAAAATGTGGGGACCTGGCAAACTACATTTTGCAAGTCCTGCATCCTCAGTCTATGGCCACTGTCTTGGTTTTTGCTTTTGTTTTTTAAACTCCCACCCAGGAAATGGACAGCCAGAGATCAGGAGCTCTGTACAACGTTCTCACCTGTGGTGGCAGTGGGGTTTTTGGTTCCTCTTCTATTTCCTTTGGGAACTATTCCTTAAAAAGTATACTGGTAGTAATAAAATTACAAGTCTTACTTATGTCTTGTTTCAGGGAAGTATGGAAATGTTCAGATGAATGAACATAGACATGTACATACAGTTTTCACAGACCCCTTCTGGGGTCACAGACCCTCTGAGGCTCAGCTCCTTCTTCATAATCATTGACCCCCACATTGGGCACTAGACTTGGTGTCCATGTCAGAGTACTCATGTGTTGTGTGCTTAGAGGGATTTTTAACGCCAAATAACAAAACTAGGTGCTCTATTCCCTAAATGCTAGGCTGCCATAAATTAATCCTGCTTTGTAACTCTGTTATGTGTTTACGTATGGATACAAATATTGTGCATCTATATTTAAGGAAGAATGCCACAATAAATAGAGCGAGTATACATAATTTAGACACTTTCTAATTCCTGTCTCTGTAATAACAGCCACTTTGCTACTTTGAACAGATATCCACAACTCTTAAATTATTACTGGTTCAAAGCTAGCCCAGTTCCAAGCAGTAGAAGACTTAGCTTCCAACTTAATTCTCAATCACA